CGGTAAATCTGTTTCAAAAAACCACATTAAAAATACGTGTCATTCTAAAATACACAATTGGGTTTGAAGATATCCATATATTTTACAAATTACTCTTTATTTCTGTTTTAGGGTGTTGTAATTGATTCATGTCGGTAATTGCTAATCTTTGCTAAATACATTTTATATCGTTGTTTGATTTTATATACAATTCACACATGCTAATTCAAAAAATCCATTAGTTTTATATTTTTAATATAATAATCTATTTTAACAATAAAACTGGTGTATGTATTAAAAATTTCAAAGTTATTTTAATAAAACATAAGTAGTGATAGTTATAATTCGTGTTCTAATTTAAATAAAGAGGTCTAATTACAACGTCAGAAGCCCCCTCCTGAGATATTACAGTTTAGTCAAAATAGGGCGATTCGTATTTCTATTCGTATAACTAACCGAGTTATCTTCTTCCAACTTGAGGATTATCGCATTACACCAATTTGAATTCTATAGAATGGAGGGAAGCCCCCTTCCTCTTTGGATTCTGTCCTCGTACAATTAGACTTAGTTACCTTTTTATTTGCATCTTCAAGTTGGTTAGCCTTTACTATATATGTTATTCTTCCATTTCAATCTATATATAATATTTTATAATTATTGGTATAAGAGGTGGAGAAATGTTGCTTTAAATATATATTCAGCTGTTGAAACTTTTAAATTTCATTCTGCGTAAATCTGATATGAATTTTGACATATACAATATAATTATTTTTTTTATAGAATTTAGTTATGGATTAATTTATGCCTTTGTTATAATCTAATTAGATAGTTAAAAATAGGGAATTTAAGGTTATTTTGTGTTGAAACTCTCTAAAGTTTTAGCCATATCTATCAAACCATCTTAAAAATACGGTATTTATTTATGTTTTATTGAAATAAGAACATTAAGCCTCCAGGGAAAATTTTATTTTTGAAATATTTCTCATTCATAAAAATCTCTCAAGCTTTCGGACAAGAAAGCCCTTCTACGGTAACAAATATTTACATCATTAAAACGCCAAATTTTATCGAATTATATTTTTTATATTTAAAATTTTAATTTTGTTGCATTTTTTTAAATATATATAACTATTGTGGTAAGAATTTTAAATTGGTGGAAAGAAACAAGCAATACATATCGATATTTTCTGAAATTTAGCCCCGATATACAACTGAGGGAACATATTCACAACGATACAGGTCTTTATATACAACATTTATAAACAGAAGTGTCATAGCTTTACATTAAGCGTTTCATCAATGAAATAACCAATTAACTCAAACTATAATGGCAAAAACCTGTGCGCCTTTGAAATTCGACTCTTCCTCGGACCAAATATAAAATTAAATAAATATAACTTTGAAAGCTAAAGAGCGTGAACGTACTAATAATATATATATATGTAGTAAACCCGATGTGGAATGTGCTGGGCAGTCGTGGTAGTGGGTGCGTGATGGGATTCCCGCACTGGGACAACAAGAGACAGAGGCAGGTCTAGATGGTAACTCCAAGAGGAAGAGGCAGACCACGGACGAAGACAGCGGACCCGGACGCCACGGATGCCCTAAGTCTACATCGCGGATAGGGGTGAGGGATCCGACCGACCGTAACGGGGTCGCTCTGAAAATAACTAACTATCTATCTATCTATCTAACTATCTAACTAACTGACGAAACTTTCTAACGACCCCTATATATAGCAACCCTCAACCGTCTACCTGGCCTTGATTCTCATTGGCTGCTGGTCAAGCTGTTTGTTTGCACAGGCGTGACGGCGCGCCTCGGTGTCTAGCCTTTCATCTTAGGTTTTGGTTTCGATAGATTGGTTTTGGTTGCTATAGTCTGACCTTGGCCGGCCACCTGGGCGGATATTATCATAACACCTGTTCGTTTGATCTATGGCGTCGTTTGGTCTACCTCCCTCTTTGCTTTATTGTGATATCCATCTTACAAGGTTGATACATAGTTTTATATAGGGATGGGATTACAATAAATATCAGAAGGTTGTGAACTGTCTCACTCAAAATATACTACATATATATATATATGATGATTTAAGACCATGGAATTGTTGTAAATACTCCAGAAATCTACTATCACATGTACCACCACGTGACTGTATATAACTTGTTATTTACTGCAAATATAAAGCCTCAACTAACCACAATCTGTACCGCGTAAGACTCTAATAAAGTATAGCAACTGTACAGATAGAAGGAATGGAGAATAACAGGATAAAATTAAGGTTAAAACTAATCAGGCTTAGGTGAGAATAGGAAAGCAGGCCTGGCAAGCCCAGTCCAATTTTAACGAGGTCGTAGCCCTTCTGGATAATATAACTTACCCCCCTGTTTACGTCAGAAAAGGGCAGTGACCTGTTCGGACCCAGCTAAGCTATAAAAGGAGGCCCCGAGCCTCAGTTAGTCAGTCCTTAGTTAGTCTTTGTTTCAGCCCCAGTCCGCCGGACGCTCCGATAAAAGGTAAACCCTTTCCTGCCAGAAATCTCCTCGTCCCATTACTTCTTGACGTTGAGACGCTTCTTAGTGGAATCTCTGTTTGTTTATTTCACCTTTGGCCCAGCTGTGTCGCCTTCCACCCCAACTGCACGGTAGAGTTGACATCGAGGTTCCTCTAGCATCAGGTAACACTGGTCCCAGTTTAAATCGATATTAAAATTAGCCGAACGTATAGCTTTTGTGAGACGTTATATCTTTAGATATTTCGAATATGTATACATATAATTCACTCCAAACCCCTCTAATTTATTCTCGACGATTTGACCACTCGTTGCACGCTCAAAGGTTTTTGATATCTTCATAAAATGAAAACAAGTAACCATTATGAAAATTCGAAACTATTATAGACTCGTATAATTCCTTTAAAAATTAAACAATATCTACTACCCTTACTGCAATGGAAAAATTAATGGTAGGGCCTGGCTAATTAGTTGTGTACCTTCCCAGCGGTTTCGCCTGTTTAATCTACCATGGGAGGGTTCACCACTGATAAGCCAGGCCCTCCCATTAATTTTTCCATTGAAGTAAGGGCATTAGATGTTGTTAGATCTTTTAAAATAATCATACGCGTCTATAATAGTTTCGAATTTTCATAACATATGGCGCGCTAATGCATCATGAAGTAAACCTTTTTTATTTGAAGATGACACAGCATAGGTCACCTAAGCGTATAAAATAACGAGAATAATATCTCTGAAAATTGTTATTCAACTTAATTACTAGAAGTTTCCTTTGAATTATTATAACCCATTAAAATTTAGGTTGATATTATAGATATGATATATTAGATAAAACAAAATAAGGAATAACTATTTATATCTGCTTAATAAATGATACCTGTGAAAAAGCAATATATAACATTATGATTTATAAATATTTGCAAAAACAAGATCTGATAATAATTTATTTAAATAAAATAATAAATATTTCATTAAAATATGCTATTAGTAAATTGAATTTAATTGTCATCTATCGTTAAAAATTTACAACTTAAAAGAAGCGCATTACCAGTAAATTTATATGTGTAAAATTTTAAAAATATACTATTGTTTAAGTATGAATTTTATAATTGAAGATGATGTCCATTTAAAAAGTTGATTGCAGAAGTTAAAAATTAGAATATACTTATCACCTATTTATTGCCTACACTAATAAGGACAATGGGATGTAGAAGTTAGGTTAGATAAGGTTAGAGCTATACCTAATTACCTTCAGGTTATTTACGATGTCCAGTAACTATCCAGTCTGGTCAATCCGAGAAACTGCTCTCTCAATTGTACGTTCCCTGACTTATTCCTCGACATTTACTTAGAAATTACTGGATCACCTTGATCAATATATTGTATACATTAACTTCTTATAGAGGTTCATCATTTTTAATTGGAATATAATATCTCTTAATTAATCTCAATTTCGTTCAAATTTGTAGATTATTTTTAAATAAAATTTTGTAATCACTATACATATATGTCGTGCCATTACTTTTGACTTCAAAAAAAAAAAAAGACAAACTAAATGATTTATTTGATCAAAATATTTGTGAATAAAATGAAAGACAGCAAAATAAATATGTATGTGATAAATATATTTATTTTATATAAATATAATTTTGAAATTTAAAAGAATTCTGAAATATATATATTTCTATATCATATATTCATTATATAAAGATAAAAATTTAGAATTCGTTCAACCTATATAGATACTATTGTATAACGAATCACAAGTTTTACGAAGGAACTTCTTTATTTATACTTGTGCTAGCTTTCGAACCTTTCGGTTCTTCAACAGGCGTGGCTAGTATGACTATACTAACAGGGTATAAGCGCGCTTAAGCCATTATATATGTTGTATATAATGGCTCAAGCGCGCTTATACCCTGTTAGTATAGTCATACTAGCCACGCCTGTTGAAGAACCGAAAGGTTCGAAAGCTAGCACAAGTATAAATAAAGAAGCTCCTTCGTAAAACTTGTGATTCGTTATACAATTGTACCAATTATACGGAGTTTACCTGTAGAAACTATATAGATATTCTTTATCGTGCAAATAAAAAGTTTCTGATAGCTACGACATCTGTCTTTAGTAATACCAACTGTCCTTTAAGTTACACAATCAGTATAGGTGAGCGTTTTTGTTTCAGTTCATCCACCTGATCCCAGTATGACATCACTTTTTGACTAGGGTTTCATTATATATATATATATCCCTATATATAGTCACGACCGTCATGGGCGGGCTGGCGGGCTGGCCGGCCGGCCGGCCGTTTCTGTCACGGATGCGCGCGCATCATCATTATGATCATTATCATTATCTAATGATAATAATAATAATAATTATTATTATTATTATTATTATTATATTATTATTATTATCAACTTATATAATTGCCTTATTCTCTCTGTGTGAAGTTCACTGTGTGAAGTTCACGGATAGATTTTGGTCAGAATGGATAAAATAAAAAAAGTGTCAAGGGATGGGAATCGAACCCACGACCTTCCGCTTACCGGGCAGATGTAATGACCACTAGGCTACCCTGGACATATTTTTCCGTTCACATTTTTATTTTTATATTTTCAAGTCACACAGTTTGGGGCGGGACGTTTCACAAGAGAGACATCCACGGCGCCAATTTATAATTGTAACGAATAGTATTTTAATTAAAACATTTTTAAAATATATACGCACTCGGGTAAAACCCGGGCGTTGCCCGGGCCATTCGTCTAGTATATATATATATATATATTATAATCTAAAAACTCAAATATTTCTATATTTTAAAAAATACAGGGTGATCCAAAAGTCCCGCACAACTTTAAAAATTAATAACTCCGCGAATATTTGCTCTAGAGCAATGCGGTAAACACCATTGTGTTCAGGATGCAATGGGATTTTTTATGGCAAATAATGAAAATTTCGAAATTGATTTTAGTTACAACTTTATTCGCTAGATGGCGCTCTACCAGAATCAGCGATTCAGCGGCCAAATTGTTTGATAAATTGAAAGAATATAACTGAACGACACGTATTTTTCTTTTTTGAATACCAGAAAAGAACCCTAATAATATCAAATGATAAATTAATAAAACACCATTTCGCCAAAAGTTAGAAGAAATGGTTAAAGATTTTTAAATACAATCTGAGATATGTAAAATAGGTATATGCAAATTTAAAACATGTAGCAAAAAATTTTATATTTTAGATGGAGTTTTGTGAAATAGATTGAATGTTTGAAAATAACTACTGATATCAATACGCGATTTTTGAAATGTTAATATAGTACCAAAAATTATGATGGCACTACTAATAGGATTTCTTGCTATAAGGAATGTGTAGTTTCTTGACTGATTGGCGACACTTGACTATTTAACTGGATATTTGTCATGATCCAACAAATGAAATATAGAGGGGAGTGACAAAATATATTTTTCGTACTTTATTCCAAATATCCAATGGGTTTGTCAAATGTTACCATTGTTTATTATACTGTACATAATTTTGAAAATGTATCCCCTCAAAAAAATCATTTTTAAATCGGCCTTTTGCGTTGAAAAACGTGATAGTAAAATCATTTTGTATTATTTTTTGCGCAAAATTTCTAAAGTTGGGGGGGGGGGGGATACAGAGAATATTCCTTATGCTATTTCTTCTATTGCGCGAAAAGCGATAAACTAAACATAAGGGGTAAAATTGTGTATACCAGTGTTATTCGAGAAGATATAACACTTTGGCCTGCACGACATAATATAAGATGTGGGCAAATGACACAAAAAAATTACTTTTCACAGAAAAAAAAAGAGTCAAGATTTGAGGACAGCATTTATTATTCCCATAACCCAAAACAAAGAGCTGCAAAATATAAGACATGAGGTAACTGCCTTCTCTCTTGTATTAGGTCACAATCCTTGCTCAATGTGGCGCCCTTCATTCTCAAACACCGCCTGCAGACGATAGATGACAGAATGGTCACAATTAAATAGTTGAAATTTATAAAATGTGCCATCTGATAGAAGCCTTCAACATGGCCAATGTGGTAGGCCGGCATCGATAAAAACGCGACTTAATGTTCCCCCATAACCGAAATTGTAAGGCGTCAAGTCTAGTGATATTGGAGGCCACTGGTATATAAAGTGGCGACTTATCCAACGATTTTTACCGAATATAATCGTTCAGCAATTGTTTGGCACCGCGGGAGATATGAGGAGGTCCTCCATCTTGCATTAATGTTATTTCGCTTAGTGCTTGTCTGTCCTGCAATATGGGAATAACCTTTACTCTAAAAAGTTGAACATAACGTTCACCACAGTTACAAAAACGATTTTAAAAGTTCTTCCATTTATTTTTTCAAAGAAAAATGGCCCAATAATAAAAGAAGAAGTGAACCCACACAAAACTGTAACTCTGTGCTGATGAAGTGGTATTTCTGTAAAAATCCTAGGGTTTTCTGTTGCCAAAATGAGGCAGTTTTGAATGTTAAATTCTCCCTTTAGATAAAAGTGAGCATCATCTGTTCTTAGAACATTTGACAGCCAGTTTTCATCAATATCAATTTGCCGGAAAACCCATGCAGCGAATTCTTGACGCTTCTCAAAATCGCCGACTTTCAACTCGTGAAAACTTTGAATTTTGTTAGGGTATTTTTATAGAAAAATTCTAAATGTGTGTTCTCTCTAAACTGTTCCATACGAAATCCCCGTTTGTCGAGAAACTTGTCTAGCACTTACTTCTCCATACGTGGATAACGTTTCAATAGCTTCAGCATTCTGCAAAACCGTAACAGCCACTGACTTGCATGTCGATGGTCTTCCACTCCGAGGTTTTGCTTCCAGAGATCTAGTTTCCTCAAAACTTTTAATCAATCGCTTTAGATAGTAGCAACTCATTGGTCCTTTACCGCTTCGAATATCTTTAAAGGAACGAAACGCTCGTAAAGCTTCAGTGACAGATTCTGAATCACAATTAAAAAATCCACCAAGAGTGCTTTATCCTGTAGTGACGGCATTCCAGGGGGAAGAGAAGAAGTCCGACCACACCTCCTTGCGGTCCCCCCTGGACCCTTGGAATATTTGACCAAATTCTGGTTCGTTTCCAAGATGACTAACGTTGCAACGGCACCCATTTTCAAATGAAGAGCAAAACTGATATCTCCAGTAATGCTACCGCGTCCGGGGTAACCGCCGCGTCAGGAGCTGCAGCTCGAGCTCATGATGAGAAATCTACTACGAGGACACATTTCAGTCTACTACAACTCAATATGAATGGTACCTAGAGGAAAATAAAGAGCTGACTTGTCTTCTCTGTGACAACAATGTACATATTACTTGTCCTTAGGAGACAAAATTGAATCAGAATCTGTGATTCAATATCAAAGATTATACAACACTACGAAAGGACAGACCGGGAAAATTCGGAGGAGGACTTGCCGTTTTGATTAAAACTCTAGAAATCAAATTTAAAGAAATCGCCTATAATCAGAGTAAGCCTAGAAAAAGCACGAGAGAAGCTCAGGCAATATAAATCTATCTTACAGATAAAACAATTCTAATCATAAATGTTTATCACCGTGATAATACTAGCATCAATACAGGCCTGATAGAGACATTAAGTGAAGCTTCTTCGGATATCGCAATCATACAGGGTCCATTATGAAAGAAATGAGCATTTACTGGCAAAATACATTTATTGATCGTAATTTGTGCAAATGTTCAATATTCTTCAAAATACATTCCTCCTGCATCAATACACTTGCGGAGACGCGTTTGCCACGCCTGAAAGGCACCCTGAAACTCCTCGACAGGAATGCTTCTCAGGAACGTTGTAACATGGTGTTGGATATTTTCCACGGTTTCCCAATGTTTTCCTTTCATCTCTCTCTTGAGTCGCGGAAACAAAAAGAAGTCACATGGAGCTAAGTCGGGACTGTAAGGGGGGTGAGGGATCACCGAGGTGTTGCTCCGGGCCAGGAAGTTGGTAATGATGAAGGCTGTGTGGCTGGTGGCCTTGTCATGGTGGAGCTTGACCGTGTCTTTAATGTCAGTCCTCACGCGTGCGATCCGGCGTTTCAATTTTCTGAGCACCTCCGGGTAAAAGGCTGAGTTTACAGTTTGTCCCTGCGGTACAAACTCACAATGGACTATTCCTCGGATGTCAAAGAAGACAATGATCATCGTTTTGATGCGCGACTTGCTCATTCGCGCTTTCTTGGGGCGTGGGGAAGATTTTTGTGCTATGCACAGCTCTGCCTTTTCGACTCTGGGTCGTATTCAAACATCCAGGATTCGTCTCCGGTTACTACAGAGTTCAGAAAGTCCGGTTCATTTTGAATCAAATCCAACAATTCTTGACAGCGCAAAACTTTCTTTCTTTCTGGTCTTGCGTCAACACTTTCGGCATAAGCTTCGCACAGACCTTACGCATTTGCAGATCCTCGGTCACTATCCCATGTACCACAAATGTGGACATGTGTAATGTTTCAGCAATTTGCTGGATGCTTAATCGACGGTCGGTACGCAAAACTTAGAGCACACGATCCACGTTCTCGTCAGTTCTGGCCGTTGTTGGGCGTCCTGAACGGGGTTCGTCGACGACCTCCTCCCGGCCCTCCTTGAATGCCTTGTGCCACTTCCTAGACTGTGATCTTGAAATGCAATCGTCCTTGAAGGCTTTTTGCAGCATCTGGAATGTTTCGGTTGCATTCTTTCCAAGCCTCACGCAAAACTTTATGGCGTATCGTTGTTCAAGCGAACGCTCCATCGCGCTATGTTACAAAAGTTGAAAACACACTTCAAGCGGAGGCATGTATCTTCCCTTACACTGCTCGAACTAAACTGACGACCGGATGGATTGAAAGGGCATATCCCTCCACCACATTTCCCACGGTTTTACCGTGCTGCCATCTATCGTCGCGTCACAATAACATTATGCTCATTACTTTCATAATGGACCCTGTACTTGGTGATTTTAACGCCGAAAGACCAACTTGGGGATCACCTGTCCAGGATAACAAAGGTCAGCAGGTTGAGGACATGCTAACCGACCTCGACCTTACACCGTTAAATAACGAAAAGAATACCTATCTATCCAAGTCCACAGGCACAGAATCCGCAATAGACATCACAGCGATAAATTACAACATCGCACCCACAACACAATTGAAAATTCTGAAAAGTGCAATCAGTGACCACAGACCAATTTTAACAACCTTAAAATTCAAAATTGAGAATTTCCAACAGAATAAAAGAACACTGGAGAAAATTCACAGAAAAGCTTGAAGAACTGTGCAACGAAGAATTAAATCACAGAACGATTGACAAAAAAAAATAGAAAAATTCTCTTCGAACATATCCAAAGCTGCAAAAGTATCGATATCTAGAGGTAGACGTAAAGACCTGTGAATACTTTACTGGAAGGACCACAATATCGAGGCAATGATTGAAGAGAGAGAGACAATATCAATGAACTTCTTAAAACAAATAAAACAGAAGAAATCATAAAGGAACTCATTAATATTAGTCACAAAATAGAACAATAAATTTGGATATT